GCGCTGTGCAGAGCCCTCAGCCTCAAACTCAATCAGGAGGTCAATTTGATCAGCATGTAATTTAATCACAGGGACTCAGGCACTGTTTTAGATTAGGAATCTGAATGTATAGATTCTTTTATTAGATTATTGTCATTCAATTTGGAACTCAGGTTGCTTTGGTGTGTTTACAAAAGAAAATTTTTTTTTCATCTGTAAATATTTGCTGGAAATTGAGTCAGATAATTTCCATGATAAAGTATTCCAGAATTATGAATGATGTAAAGATATTGGGAATCTATTGAGCCAATCATCCTCTAATTTTTCTCTCTTCAGTTATAACTTTAATTGTAAAATGAATATTCTCACCTAGTTGGATGGAATCCTTATTTACCACCCTATCAGATAGTACTGCCTATGACTTCACGCCCCCCCCCCCACGAATCCCAGCCAAACAGAAGGACAAATAAAAAACAGGACACGTTCTTACTTTGAGTTTTCTTCAAAGCACTACTCTGTGCTAATGATTTGTCTGTTGACTACCGACCGATTAGATTACTTCCTCCTTTAGAGTCTAAGCCCAGGAGGGCAGGGCTTTTGATCAGTTTTGTTCTCTTGCTCTCTCAATAAAGTCTAAGATGAAGCATGCATTGTCCTAGATAGTCGGGACATATTTAGGACTTGAAGGACTGAACAGTAATTGTAGTGCACCATTTCTGTTGTCCTGGAAATGGTGAGGCTTATGTGCGAGAAGAACATGTAAAAAGCATTGCATTATTTCACTGGAGTGAAAAGTATCCCATGCCTAATAAACAAATAAGATGATGTAGTATATATTATGTACAGAGTCTGCCAAAAAAAGTGCATGCACACTTAAGGAAAAGAAAAACCTGTATAAATATTTTAATGCTAAATTTATTGGGACACCTTGAGATTAATACAAGTAACCTTTGGCCTTTGTAATTAGTTATCTTTGGCACAGAGTGGCGGCCATTACCTTCCTCACATTTATTAGTGTGACAAACTGCTGCTTGGGTAACCTTGGTCATTGAGATTGCTGCACATGCATTTTTCAATTTTCTCTCCAAAGGCTGGCAGCGTGGTGGGTTTTCTGCAGTATGTGATGTCCTCTAGGACCACCATACTACGGTAACGCCATGTGTTGAAAAAAACAGTAGTGAACTGCATTTGTTATGATTGGTAAGGCAGTAATGATACAACACTTTTACTTTGGTCAGCTTTCCCATTGCTGGGTCACAGTACTACACATCCGTACCTTAAAAGTGGAAATGGTTCAATTTGGATCAGGGGACCTTCCTTACTGCCAAATTACAACTGGAAGAGTAATAAGGTATAACTAGCAGCCTTCAGGGGTAGAATGGAATATCAGAATATTTGGATAACAAAAAAAAAAGAAATAAAAGAGTAGAAATAAGACCATACAGGATTGAATCTGTTCTAAAATTACATTATGATGTTTGCAACTCTTAAGCATACTAAAGAGCTTTGAAATTGTGCAGTTTAAAAAGGTAAACTGCATGGAAGGTTTATTTTAAAAGAGCAAGAGATGAGTAGTTTACAAATAAGATGGCAAACAAACTTAAATTTAATAATACAACTAAATACAAATGAAGTTAGTAGCTACTTTTATGTGACATGTACATTTGATTATAATAGAACTCTCCATCTGAAACATTCAAACAGCTAGGCAATTTGGAAGAAGCAAGGAAAAGTTTTTTTGATTAGTAAGTTTTTTTTTTTTGGTACTGGGGATTGAGTTCAGGCCCTTGCGCTTGCAAGGCAGGTAGTGGAACCACTGAGCTAAATCCCTGGCCATTGGTTAGTAAGTTTATGAAATAGTTTATGCGTATGTACCCTAAATTTGTAATCAAAATGTGAATGCAAACAGAAGTGTTATATGAATTATCTTCTTTTCATATGAGGATGAAATTTAGAAGTAGTTATACTGGATTCTTAACTTTCGTCCTCTGAATTTAAATGATTGTTTCTCTTATGTGAAATTTTATTTTTATTTTAAAAATGAGATCACCCTTTTTATCAGTGTTAGTATGGTAAATATTTAATATAATTTCCTACAGACATTAAAATATTTTCTATGAAGTAATAAGATTAACATATTTCTTTCCTTCCTTCCTTCCTTCCTTCCTTCCTTCCTTCCTTCCTTCCTTCCTTCCTTCCTCCCTCTTTTTTTTTTTTGAGACAGGGTCTCACTATGTAGTTGAGACTGACCTGGAACTCACTATGTAGCCCAGGCTGGTCTTGAACTCACAGTGATCCTCCTGCCTCAGCCTCCCGAGTGCTGGGATTACAGGCTTGTGCCACCATGCCTAGCTCGACATATTTCTTAAAAATCCCACATAGTTGGATAAGTTAGTGGAAAAAAATGTTCATTTGTCTTATGTTTTATGGATTTGGTAATTATTTAAGTTCTGAAATTGGTCATTTAATGTGACTTTTATATTTCCTTTTTGTAGATTACTTCTGTATACATCGTTCTGTTCTTCCCTGTTTGCAGGAATTTTATTAAATAATTCATGTTAACCCTAGTAAGAGACGTGTCATGAAATTGCTCTGCATTGCTTACGCAAAGTTACAACTTTCTTGTTCTTACCCATCTTTTAACCCTGTGGGCCATTTGTCTTGTCTTGTGTGTCTAGCTGCCAGATTTACCCCCGTATATGTCTTACTGTGGTATTTAGGTGTGGGATGAGCTGTTTTATTACTTCTGATTCTTACTGCTTATAAAACTGCTTCTCTTATATAATGTACATCATTAAAGGGTGTCAGGTGCTGATAATAATTAACTATTACTCTTGATTACAAATTGTTCCTTCTGGTGAATCCTACAATGTTTGTCTTTGCACTGATGTATGTGTGTGTGTGTGTGTGTGTGTGTGTGTACGTCCAGCATCTAGCTGTCAGTCTGATATGTTTTTTTAAATAATCATTGGTATCACTAAAGATATGGCATATCCTATTTTCATGCTAAAGATGGAAAGGGAATAATGTCATATACTCTTAAATTATTTTTTTCTTGGAAGAGAACAAATATAACAGTTTGTCCTTTTGAGGGAAGAAAAGTACATGATAACCACTCCACACTGGATAAGTCGTTTTGTTTCCTGTTATTCTAGGATCTAAAAAAATATATTCACCACTTGAATATGTGAATATTTGAAGGAGGACTTGAACTTTATATAAAAGTGAAAAAATGTATAATGAAAGCCAGGCTTTTCCATTCAGTTAAATATTCTCCTTTAATGATTCTGTGTTTTAAAAATGCATGAGAGGGGGAGAGGGTTGGAATGATTTTTTTTCTGAAGACTAGACAAAGGACTGAAGAAGCCAGAATGCTCTGTTCTAAGTAATATATTGAATTTTACAAGGGTGTCAGAAAACTCCACCTGTTTATCTGGTGGCTATCTGGTTAATATCACCTTATCACATTTAAAAATAATCAGTCTGTAAGTTGCATTATATGCACCTTGTCATCCAAGAACTTGCTTATCAAGGGATGGAAATTCTTAACTATAGCCCACCATTTGACCCTAAGTGATATTAACCCCTTCACACATTTTCTAAAAAATTGCTAATTGAAGTCATACCTTGGTTGTCAAATTCAGTTCATTCCAGATTTGTATTTGGTTTGAGAACATATTTTTCCCATAAGAAATAATTGAAAACCAAATAATTGGTTCTGAGGCTCAAAAATTACACTTACAAGGGCCGGAGATTTAGCTCAGTGACTCCACTGCCTGCCTCGCAAGTGTGAGGTGCTGAGTTCAATCCCCGATAACCCCCACCAAAAAAAAAAACCCTCAAAAATTACACCTATATTCATTTTTCCAGCACTTTAACAAATTCTGCAGTGATTTCTTTAACTGTATCGTGGTTGTCATTTTTCCTCTTAGCTTTACTGCTAATATCACTAAATTTCTTTGGAGTCGTGGTTATGATATTTCAGGCATGTAAAATGTGAAAAAAGCAGCGCAACAGTGAACCTTGTAAGGTGCTCATATAAGCACTGTGAGCTGTCTGGGAGACAGCAGTGCTTAGAAGGAAGTGTCGCCCCCTTCTGTCCACAGTGGAACATGATGCCTGTTCCACTTTTGCCAGTGCAGGTTTCCTCAAATTCAGCTAACGTCACAAACACTGAGTGGATTTTGACTTTTTTTTTTTTTGAACTTTGCTGTTCAGGTAGTGGAAAGATCAAGCTTTGAGCCGTTTGACAACCGAGGTATCGCTGTAATTTATGCATAAAGAGTCTGAAGAAACCTGAGTTCTCTCGGGATACCGGTCATATATTTTAACACAGTTGAGTTTCTCTCTTAGTGATGGAGTTTATTATTCTGATTGATTTTCTAGGAATCTGAGAACACTGTATTACTTTGATTGATTTGCTAGGAGTCCGAAGACCTACAAGACAGTATTTGTTGATACATTCTTTTATTCTGTTTGCCCTGTGTGTACCATAGTCACTTTCTAAAGAGTCGCGTGATTATAATATGATTTCCTTATAGTTCAAAATTTTTGACAAAATTTGAACTATGAAATTTTATATAGTACCTGAAAGAATGAGGTAAGAGAAATTTTACTTTAAATGCTATGAAAGAAATTGTAGTTAGATGCTGTTTCCAGTTGATCTTTTTAATTAGATAGAAATTTTTAGTTGTAGTGCCTAAATCAGGATGCCTATTGTGTTTGAGAATTAAGTAAATGTTCACATTGGCTTTTGAATGTATTGGATGGTCGTTATTTTATTTACATAGTTTCAGCCTAATGCCTTTTGAAGTTCTGAGTAGTAAATGAATTGAGTTTTTTGTTTGATAAGATTAAATGTTTTTAATTAAAAGTTTGAATACTGTTTTATCCTCTAGAATTGGAAGTAGACTGGTGCATGCATCACATTTCATTTGATTTAAGTAACAGTCTTTGAAACATTGCTAGGTATTTACTTGTTTTGTTTTTTTAAAATTTATTTTGGCTTTTTCTTTCTACAGCAAGTTGATGTGGAAAAATGGGTATGTGTTTCCATGTATTTACAAAGAAATTGTGATTGAAAAGTGCATGTTTGCTCTTGCCTCTAATCTTTTTATTTTGCTTTCTAGTGTGGCTTGTCTTTTTTGTGTCCAAACTAACTGCTCTGTTGGAATGAACAAAGGTTTTTTAGGTCTTGAGTTAGAACCTTATATGTCTCTGGTCTTGCTTCATTTGAAATGGGTTCTATTAAATTTTTGCCATTCCCAGAACCATATAGTTGTTATAGAATTGACTTTAATTGTATTGATTATGATCTGCTTCTGGCCAACAGGAGGGCTTTTATTAGTAGCACCCTGTTTCTTTTGTCGAAAAACAATGATTCTTTAATTTCAAAATCATACTCCTTAGCCCTGACATTGTTCCACGCACTGTAGAAAAAGCCAGATGTAGTCATATGATGTTAAAAAGTGAAAATGAGTATGTGTGTCTTGTGGGAATAAGCAGTTACAGGCTTCTGGAGTTTATGCTCGAGAACCTTGATGTTACCAGTTGGGTGACCTGAACAAGCGACCTTGCTCCTTAGTCCCATTTTTTTCATCTACTAGGAGAAAGGGGGTTGTGGAGGGGGGTGTGAACCAAGGTCTCTTCCCATTCTTGACACCCCAGGGTTCTGAATGGAAATTAGAGTCTCACCAAGAAGGGTGCCGCCAGTGTTCTGCTTTGACCCCCGAAGTACCAAACAATGAAGCTTTTCAAATAGCTGATTTTTTGTTTGTTTTCATTTGCGCTGTGACTTAGTAGGATGTGGCGCTGATTGAACCGGGGGCCTCACTTTGCCTTTATTGTCCTCTGTACTTGGGATCCTGTCCGCTAGATGTGAGTACCTGGAGGGTTTTGCTGCTTTCTCAGTAGCCTTCTGGGGCCTCCCCAGGGACGATCCCTAAAACAGCTGTACGGCCTCCTGGCTTTTGCTATTCTTTGCTCCTCTTTGCTGCTTTCAGTCCTTTATAGTCCCCAAAAAATTAAAAAAAAATTTTTCCGTTTCTGTGATGATGAGACCAATACTGATCTTGGAGAATTAGCACTTCTGTATTACATTCTTCTGGGAATAGTTTAGATTCATCATCTCTCTCTTTGTAACTAAGCTGCTTTGACTATTAGCTATTTCTTTTTGAAATTTCTTGCCTTCCTCCATGCCTGCTTCAAATTGTGATCTAAGCTCCATATCTTTCTTGTCTTGTAAAAACAAGAAGAAGTCTTGTTTTTTTCTGAGAACAGGTGTGTCACTTGTGTTTTCCCCACTCCCCCAATATCTGATTCCCAACACACGGCCCCTTGTCTTTTGATATTGGCATCCCTTCATTTCCATGCAGTATTTCTGTGCTTTTCCCACATTGCTATTCCTTGACCAACCCCTCAAGACACTTTGCATCCTTCTGCAAATGTGTACGGACTATGTATGGAAATAAAATGACTTTTTTTTTGGTTATTGCTTAAAAACATTCCCACTTATTCTCTGTGCATTTGGTTACTTTTGATCTACTTTACTGCCTGTCCTTTCTCTATTTCTGTAATAATTTCTCATCTTCAAACATGTAGTTTATTGGCTGTTTGTAAAACGGTAAAGATAAATAACGGAAATAGGTAATAGAAGATAATGGAAATACTCCTGAGTTGAACATTATGAGGCCTCAGTTAGCCAGTGACCAGCTTCTGTGATTTTATGCAGCTCCTAAAGGACCGTGAACGCCTTGTCTGTAGGATTAGAACTGGACTACTTTCTTGTCCTCCAATATTCCTGTTATGTGAGTGATTATATGATTCCTGTAATATTGATGCTGAAATGTGTGCTCATTTAGATACATACCACATGGTGAAAAGTTTCTGCAGGGTCTGTCTCAGAAGACAAATAGTCTGTGTTAGCCATGTCTTAGCAAATTTCATATGAAAATGACTTTTTTCTTTGAAAGCCTGTATAGTTCAAGTCTTTAAGTGTGTCCATATGAAATTTGGAAGTCCACTGTAACAGGATTGCTGGAAAGGTAACAGAAAATAATTTACCTCCCTGCCGACCTACCTGTGGACTAATCAAACTGTTCTGGGAGGCTCATTCTCCTCTTCCGTGGAGTTAAGTTAGAGTGGATCCCATGAGCTCTCTGAGATTCAGAGAGTGAAGCACTCTGTAGTCATTTAGGGCCACATGAGTCTTGTTCCAGTATTAAAATGTCCTGTCCTGTGTAACAGGTGGACCTGTGAGTGTCATTGAAATTAAGCTGTCTGGGATCGTGCTGCTGATCCAGGCAGGGTTGTGGGAAGCGGCTTTACACCGCAGCCTGCAGGCTCTGCAGCCCCTACCCCATAACTGCGTGCCTGCTTTTGCCGTCTTCAAGAGCAAGTGGGAAGGGAGGTGGCAAGGAGGCTGGCAGGAAAGAGCTTCCCATCCTAGTGTTGGTCACTGGGCCGGCCAGGTGCTCAGATACTCTTTCCCATAGTCTCTTGGCAAGTAGCTATCACCAGAAGTCCCTGTCCTGCGATTCTGTTGTTGCAGCCAGATCCTGTCTGGATGCCAGAGGGAAACGCTTTCTCCCATTAGAGCTCATGATGTTCTCTACGAGGGTCCCAGGGCTACTCCCATTTGCCCCCAGTTGCAGACCTGCAGGATATGGGCAACCTCTTGCAGCAGCATCTCTGGTGCAGTCACACGCCCAGCTACGGTGTCCCAGCCCTTGGGGACAGGAGTATCGCTGAAGCTACCTTCACTAGGCTGGAGGTGAGGACCAGTTGTGAGGGAGGCAGGTCTGTTTAAGACCCTGTTATCTTTTTGCTTTCTGGCTTGGCGACATCCTAGGGGTGAAGGGAGTCAGCTAGGGGCAGCAGGCACGTTCATGGCCACCACCACTAGGTGGCAGCAGGCACGTTCATGGCCACCACCACTAGGGGCAGCAGGCACGTTCATGGCCACCACCACTAGGTGGCATACCAGCGACTTTGGGAATATGGTACTATTGTACTTGCCCTTGTTTTGACCTGAGACAGGCATTCTGTTGTGACATCTGTTAAACTAGTCTGTTTAGAATACATTGTATAAATCTGGATTGAGACCTCGAGGAACTTCATAAAACTTAGGTATATGTAAAAATTCACATGGCTGCTTGTAGATTCCCGATAGCAAAATTCTGGGTATTTTCATGAAAGTTCAGTCTCTCTCCTCTGTCTCCCCATCCCTCCCTCTCTCCGGCCCCCTCCTTTCTTCTGCCTCTCCACTCTCTCCTCCCTCCACCAGTGTATCTGTGAGCATCAGTGCACTTGTTTAAACCTAATCTCTCTGAGTTATCAAGTACTGCTCTTCATATTTTAAAAGAGAATAACATTTCTGAGTTTTAGTTTAAAAAGTTATTAACTGTTATTTTCCTCTACTCCTCTCCTTCTCCCAAGCTCTTCCTTGAACTATGGCCTTGGTTTCCAATCTGGAGGCCTCTGGCTTGAGGTCATAGCCGGGGACAGTGAAATAATGGAACATCCTATGAGGTCATGATGAATGGAACTTTGTCTGTTGACCAAATGATATCTTGTACTTTACTCTTAAAAGGTGATGCTGTTGCAGTTAAAATAGCTATTTCAAATATTCCTAACTCAATAACTATTTGAAAAACTAATTAATTTTTACACATAATGATATATTTCAAAGAGATGAGTTGGTCTTTGAAATGATTTTGTATAATCAAGCTTCCTTCATTCTGAAATAGTTTGAAAAAAGAATAGATTTTTTTTTTTTTGGTACCAGGGATCAAATAATAGAATTTTTTATATACAGAGAAACTCTATATCTTTATATGCAGGCTTTTTTATATGTAGATGATTGTCTGAATGTGGTGCATTCTTCATGTGTCTTCAAATTATTTCCTCTGAAGAGGTCAATTTATTGCTTTTGACATAGAGAAATTTTCAGTTGAGACAAATTGGGCAAAGAAGAAAGCTCTCCGTATCTCTGCTACTTCATATTTTAGATATCTGGGAGCTTTGTGATATACAAACATGTGTCACAGAGATAAAATATCAGGATTTACAGTAGCTTATCAGAATCATTTATTTTCCTTCAACCTTCTAAAGAAGAGCTAGATAATTATACACATCTGTGTGCGTGTATATACATATATATCAAACCCATTACACTCAAGGAAAGGCAGCCCATTTAAATCCTGCCTGCTCAGAGTCACTGATAGGTTGAAAAAGGCAACACTTGCCACAGATCTGTCAAAAATATAGTGTGTTCTTTTTAAACATATCTGCATGCATGCTCAACCAGGTGCCAGAGTGACAGAAAGCACTCTGAAATTCACAAGAGCCACTTCTCTGGGGAACGTCAGATCATGTCCATGGAAAGTATCATATATACAGTTGCTCTTCATGGGTTGAAAGCTGAGCCCCTTCTGATATTCTCTGGACCAATCATCAACATGTCTATGTCATCGTTGTAGTCCTGAATATTTTTAGCAGGAGAATCATAGAGAGTAAAACATTTATGTAGGATATGCCATCCTAAGAGTAATTGTTGTCATATGTCATGAATATATATCCACATATGCTGTTAGATAGTTTATACTGGTATGTATTTGGAACTTGTAATTGCTCACATTAGAGTTCCTTTGTGTCCTAAAAATTACTGGAAGCAGCACTGAATCAAATCTAGTCACTATAAAACCCTGATATTTGGTAGTGAAATAATTTTCCCTTTTCTCAACATAGTAAAGTACCAGATATTTCCTTGTTAATGAAGGAGATGACACAGCTGAAGGGTGATAAGGAAGCAGTATCTTGCGCTTGGAGAGAAGAGGTGGCAAAATAGGCTTAAATTCCATGAACATTTTATATGCAAAGTAGGAGATTCCATTTCTCTATTAGAAAATTCATGCCAGAAGGGCTCCTATGCCCAAGTTTTGCCTTATTTGTTTATTATTTATTTTGGTACCAGGGATCGAACTTGGGACCTTGTGCTTGCAAGGCAGGCGGCGGAACCACTGAGCTAAATTTACAGCCCTTGATAGTTCTTTTTAATGACAAGCCTGTCTCCTTTGTTGCCAGTTCCTTATCTAGGTAGTTTTGGGGAGTGTTATTGGTAAAAGTTCATTTAAAAGTCCTAAGATAGATCTTTTATAGAATTACTGAATTTTGAAATATTTCATTTCATTACCCTGAAATATCAGTTTTAAAAATCAGGATCAAGTTTGTGCTCAAAGGCATCATTAAAGGTAAAGGAGCTTTTTATACATCACCTGAATTACTGTTTCTTTCTTTGCACTGATAACAAATGGAATATCATTATGCATTCTCCCCAGGTCTGAAAATTGCGAACAATGTTCAGAGTAAAGTATTCCTATTTGACTTGTTTTTCTATTCATGATTTTTTGCATTTGCTAAGAAAATCTGTCAGGTCTTTTAGGTCTTCTGTATCCAGTGACTTAAGCTTGTAGAACAGAGATGCTGCTGCTGCTTTTTGACATCCATTTGACTCCCAGGGCCATCTGTATTTGTGCTAGTAGCACAGATGCACGTAGCTCTTGCTATCCATGTTTTTTCATGTTAATGGAGGTGGAGATGGTTGCATCCCAGCTCTTGCTCATCTGGAGAGCCATCTGATCTGTCAGCTCTTCAGTAATTAGACCAACCTTGGACACTGAGTTACTACACTTGCACTTTTACCCTGCAGAGCTAAAAATGCCCCCCTTTATTTTTTAGTGCAAATTGATCATCATTCAAAAAATTCTTCTAAGGGCAGAAAACAGGTCAGGACCCGGGCTGTGTGCTTATTATTGCTCTAATCATCACTTCCTACTCCATCTAATGAAATTTTCATGAATGAAATAAATCAAATTTACTTCTTTGTTAAATTTATTGTAAGCATAAAATAATTATTTTCCACACATAAAGGAGCTAATTTCTTCAGTGTTTATCTTTCTACATGGTTCTTTTTTCTCCTATCATGTTAACAACTTTTAGAGGGGTTTTCTTGTTACTCTTTAGGTTTGTTGCTTTTTATCATCCCTAAGCAGTGTTTACATTGAGATTATAATAATATATTCATCCTTCTTGCCTTAGTGTATTTTGCTTTCTTCTTTGCCCCTGAATTATCCCCTTGGAATACCTCATAATGCTATTACTTTATGATATTCAGCACAAAAGTCAAATTGACCAAGAAAAAGAAATTTGTACAAAAAGTCAACGTTAATAATACTGCAGATAATCTTTCGTGTTCTTGGTTATCTTCTGAAAATTATGTGTCTGTTGCGTCTGTTTTGCTTTCTCATTCTCAGATGGATATTTTACCCTTTGTTAATGCAGTAGTTTTTCTATTTTATTGTATATGCAGATTTTCTCCCCTGTGTCTTATGTTTCCTACAGTAATACAGAACATAGTAATTCTGAAGATCAGACCTTATAAGTCTACTGATATGCTTTGTTCTGTTACAGTTTCAAACTAGTTCGACAACAGACTTTTCTTTTTAAGAAAAATCTCCCAAGCTTGGTAAACTAAAAGAATATCATGAAGATGGCATCTTTTATATATCATGTGTTGTATTTTTGTGTTTCTTTGAATTAAAGCATAAAATTGATTTTTTCTAATTCCTCATTGATGGATATTTCCATCATTATTAAATCAAAGGTAAGCATATGTTTGGTCAATTTTAATGTGGAAAATAAGTGCGATCATATCATTCACTCTTCATATCAGTTATACAAACATAACTGAGCACTGTATTTTCTAAGCCAAGAATGATTTTTCTTTTATAATTTGCCCTTAATAATAGCATTGAAAATCAAAGATATAAGTCTCAGCGAAATTTCCATTTAGTAATATGCATATTACTCTGTGTATTTCAGAGACAGCTGTAATTTTATAAATATCTATGTTGAAAAACCTTCCTTTGTGGTTTGAGAACCAATATGGAAATGTTATCTTTTTTTTTTTTCAGCTTTAATTGAGTTTATTGGTACATTTTAGGGATATAGTACAGTTACATTCATTCTTGGGATCTTGTACCTTTACATGACAAGTCTTGGTTCTCATTTTTTCCCCTTACCTCTGCCCTCCCTTCACCCTCTCCTCCCCTCCCCATCTACAAACACTTTATTTCCATCTTTTCATTCTCTCACATTTTTTTCTTTTCCCTTATTACCCTTCCCCTACCCATCCCACCTTCCCTACACCTTTGGCTCCTTTCTTCCCATTTCTCAATGTCAGCAATCTTATTAGGATCTTATGTATTATTGCAGATTACTCCAGGACTTAGATCATCACTCTGTTTGGAAAGACAGCATTGCTTTTCCTTCTCCATTCTTTTTCATCTTTGTACTTCTAGGAATAAGTCAAAGAAACTTTAGGGACTCATAAAAAATGGAGGAATGCGTAGCCCTTACTGTTTTGTTAAAGAAGAGAAGAGCTATTATAATTCGTAAGTGGAGACACTGCCATTTTCAAAGAAAAGGGGAAGCATTTTTGAGCTCTTTCTTTGACGTTTATGTCTGACAACATGTAGTGTCTAAGGAGTTGCTGACTTACTTTGCATGAAAGATGCGTGTCTCATTGCAGCTTATTTTAAATCCACCTTACTTGTTTTTAATTTGCTTTCAATAAAACTAGTTGTGTTGCTACGGTATTCGTCACTGCATTTATATGCACAACAGGAAATAAAAGTTTTTCTATTAAGCATTTGCAGAGGTTAAATTTAAGATTACACTCCCACCCTAGTGCTTAGGTATATTGGCTATTGAATCACGCATTGCCGTAGGATGGAATGTATTCACAGAAAAGGGAAGAACTAGTGTAAAAACATTTTCTTAGTTTTGCTTGCTATAGCTTTTCTCTAGCATGTAGTTCATACTATGTTTTGTTGCAATAACAGAATGATTTTAAAAATTTATTGTTACATAGGTCCATTTAGGACAATGAACTCTATAAGAGAAATTTAAAAATAAGTCTTTGAAGTGATGTATATTAATATTTTCCTTCTTTTCCTTATGTCCCTACAGAAATTCATGATGAAGGTAAGAATTTGGATCATCTGCTATATATGTAATACTTAGTAAGTTATACATATTTGCTTTGTTTTTAATTACTAAACTGTTCTTTACATTTTAAACTTTACAACAATTAAATCAGTCTTTGGCGCCTTTAAGGAAAATAAAATATGTTTTGATTTAACAACTTAAGCAGCATTGGGCAGGTAGGTCATACTGTAACATATTAAGCTTAGCTAGCGTTAGGAATTTCTCTCACAGACGCATATGTTTTATAGCTCTCCACTGGGAATACTCGCTTTTTGGTGGCCGTTGAGTTGTGTCAGCACTCTTGCATGAATACGATCGGGAATTCTCATCCTGGGAGATCAGAAGAGGCACCAAGAAACTATGTTTCCTTACTCTAGGACATGTGACAATAATTCAGCCCCTTTCTTTTTCTCAAATAAACCAGAAAGGAAAATCTTTTAAGAGGAGACAAATGAAAAGAGAGATGAAACATGTGGTCCTGTCACTGAGAGTAGAGGGAGAACCAGAAAGAGCAGAGTGCAGCTCTTTTCTGATGTGTCACTGAAAATTGTGTCTCATTTTAACAGACCCACCGCATTTCTCCTGAGACTTTCATAGGACTTAATTTTTTTACCCTCAAAGCCAAAAACATGGATGACTTTATTTATATTTAGTTAATAAAGGCTCAATATAATTTATAATCTTGAAGAATGTCATTTCAAAAGATAAAAATACTTCAAGAAGTGTTCATCAAAATTCTGGACGTAGATTAAGAAGATAAATTTGCAGAATTAGAAACAAATCCCTCTTGCCAGTCTACTAAATTGCTTAGTTAAGTCTAAGTCTGTCATTTATATTTACAAATCTCTGGACCAAGTGTATTATGGGGTACTCCAAACTGGATCAGTATAAGAAATCTGTCTGGATGGATGACAGAGTGGGCATTTCCTTGATATCAACAAAGATATGAGACATCTTGCAAAATTTCAATTAACTTCAGCTCTTACTTTTCAATAGGAAATATGGTATTATTACATTATTTGCTGAGGACATTATCTGCTAATTTATATATATCATGACAGAGGGTCGGGGATTTAGCTCAGAGGTTCTACTGCCTGCCTCACAAGTGCAAGGACCGGAGTTTGATTTCTGGTACCTAAATAAATAAATACATAAGTAAGTAAAATAAAATAAAAATAGATATGCCATGACAAAAGGGTGTTGGAAAAATATGTGCAGCAGCAAAATATGAATATATCCTCTCCTTGCAAATAGTATTGGTGAAATTGGGTTTGAAAAAAGTCAGGTTTTCTTGCTAAATTTGCATTTAATATATTCACTTTATCATTTCATTTCCGCTCCAGTTTCCTCTCCAGTATATCTACTTTCTCTTTGGGGAAATGGAATAATTACCTAAAACAGTTATGTTAGCTCTTGTGCAAGAGCAGATTCATATAAAAATAGGTGTGAATAGAAAAAGTAGTGTAAACTCAGTTAAAACCATATGGTATGCCTCGGATGATTTAATTAGGCTTTGCTTCTGTTTAACTGCAATGCCAGAAGCCAATGGCTCATTTTCATACCTGCATTGGATAGTCTGGAAAGGTCAGGATTTGATTAAGGGGAGGGCATATGCATGCAATTAGAGTAATTTGAGCCACTTAACTGGAAAAGCATGCTGAACATGATTAATCTTTCACTTTTCCATCAAAGTTTTGTCATTTCATGCCCGGGAAGGCATTGTTTAACCGCTGCTGGTGGTGAACCTACATGTTACTTGTTTTTCTTATAAGACAAGATATGTTAATGTATGAGTTTTTTTTTTTTCCCCCTAAACTAAAACCTCAGTATTCAGGTTTAGTTGTTGTTGTTGTTGCATTGGTACCGGGGATCAAACTCAGGACCTTGCGCTTGTGAGGCAGGCGGCAGCACCACTGAGCCAAATCCCATGCCCCTCAGTATTCAGGTTTAATTGAAGTTTGGAACTTTTCAGTGAATAAGTGAGTTTTGAGTTGCAGTTTGGGCACTCGTCCCTAAGGTTCGCCATCGCTGGCTTAGCACCAAATGACTGCTTTACTTTTGCAGGAGCCCCATTCCTGCTTGTTGGTGCTGAGCAGTGATACTTTGGTAATGCCAGGAGCACGATGTGTTCCCTGGGGGACCCTTATGGTTGGGACACCAGTGCAAGTAAACGATTCAGAGTCAAGTGGGTATCTTGGCATTACTCACCTGGCTTTGTTAGGCAGATTGTGCCCTGAAGCCAGGTTTCTCATTAAGGGAATTGTAGGCCCACACTCCCAAGCTGCCTCTGTTGTATTCTGTGCTGTTCAAGTTCTTCCACAGTCATTCTTAGATGATGGGACAGGTAAGCATAGCAAGAGTTTTCTCCCGGGAATAAGTATCTTATCTATTTTCCAAGTTTTACTATTTACATTTTGTTAGAATTCCCTTGCCTGAAGATGGCTGCCTCACAGAATGGCAGCCTCCATGTTAAAACATGGCTACTCCCAACAAACGGCACTTGAGAGCTTTTCCACTTGAATATCTGAGTGCCCTGAATGAAATGTTCTTTCCCACAATTTCTAACATTGGCAGTGTGATTCAGTATTGCTTGAAGTAATAAACCTTTTAAGAACTTGTTGTTTAACCAGCAGCGTTTCATAGGATGTCATAGCAGTCGGGATATACAAAGTTTCTTCTTTGAAGTTTGATCTATTATTAAAATGTCACAGAATAAAGGCCTGAAATTTTGAGAAATGCCCTACATTGATTAGCGTAGCATTTTTGTTCAAGCAAGATGATTATGAAAATAGAAAAACCTTAAAATATTTAAATATTTGATAGGTAGTAAATGAAATGGCTTTAATCAGCAGTACAAGATGCAGCTTAATAAGCCAATATATATTTCAAACATATATATATATATATATATATATATATATATATAAAAACACAGCCAAAGAAACCCTATAAAACAAATAAGAATAAAACATAGAGCCAGTAATTTTCATTTGTGTATAAATCTCTTTAGTTGATCTCCATAATTATTAATCTGATTTTATGTTTTATGGGTTTGTGATCTAGTGCATTTTAAGTTTATGGCAGTAATACTTCAGATAGAGCTGTAATAATTCAGATGGTCTCCCTCTCCACAAAGAATAACAGGCAAATAAGTTATGCTCTATTAGAGAATATTGTGCTACAATGAGTGTAAATGTAGTATTTACAGTGAAGTTTTTGCTTATGGTATGAGCATTTGATTTGACATTTTTGACAAGAGCTTAGAAATCTAGAGATGTAGAAATGCCTAATAATACACATTGGCATTAAAATAAGTTGTGAAAAGCTTGAGATGAGTTTTCTTTATATGTGCTTACATTGTGTTTGAAGGTTTGGACTTTTTTGTCTTCGTACGGTTCATGTTTTATGTTATGTAATACTAACCTGTTGGTCATCTTGGGTGTATTGAGACCAAGCCTACCTACAGGACTGGGGAAAAAAAATTTAACTGATGTTTTCAAAAAGTCAAATTTTAGCTTTTAGTAAATGATGCTGAGGTGTCCTGTGCCAGGAATGCGTGCATTACTGGGAGGAATTCGGAAATGATGGGGCCCCCATGTGTCAGAGATCAGCAGCCCCTTAGCGCATCTTCTGTAGATGACTGAGTCGAGAAGATGCGGACTTTAGGCCCCTGACTCTGAAGGCATCTGGAAGGAGGGCTGGGGACAGCTTCCTCACTGTACCGCTGGCTCTACGATTGTGAGAGTTGAGCCGGGGTGCAAGGAGTGACGAGCAGCATTTTCAGGAACAGATAGGGCCTTTGTCACATTTTTAGAAGTACTTCAACGACTTGTCACTCCAGAAATATTTTTCTTAAAGGGACCTAATAATCCATCCTGTAGTTGGAGGTGTTAAGAAATACACAAAGATATAGTTCCCAAGCTTCTGCTTTCTTTTGTCATTGCTGTTAGTGGGCAAATATTTTGAAGGGAGTTGCAGAGGATTCAGTAAATATTTGTTATTGAATAGTTTGAGTTTTCTAAGAAGACTTTCATTTGCAAAGCAGAGGAAAAGAGACTGCGAGCTTATTATGCGTAAGATCTTTGCCACTAGTGACTGCACCTCTTATATAGAAGATACCCCGTGGATGTTTTTTTAATGAATATAAAAGTGTTTCCTTTGTTTAATGCTATTTACTTACTAGAGAAATTAGCATACATTAGAGTGTACATGACATTGTGTGAATTGAAGATTTATTTGCGCTGCAAAAAATTTATTTTCCCATTTCGCTTTTCAATTGGTGTATTTAAAGCACTACTTACCCTGACACTGTTTTAGATTTCAAGGAGCAATCTGTCAACCTTGAAAAACACCAAGCTAATTTTTTTTGAGGTATCAATGAAAGACATGCAGTCCTCCAGCTTCTTGTCCTGTGAGTTTGATTCTCCTCCGGTTCGTCCTGACCAGCCCCCCAGAGCCACTTGTGCCAATGGAACCCTGTGCTTGTCATTTCAGGCTGGGGTAGCTAGAGGAGGATGAACCCTTGTTCCAGAGTGTTGAATTGTTACTCCTTGTGATACATCATCCAGTGGTGATGACCTTTTCTCATTGAAATTGCAATGGGAAATCTCATAGTCCACCCAAGGTATTGTAGAATCTTGAAGGAACACCCATAGCAGTGGCTGTCCAGTGGTTGGTTTAACCAGCTTCATAAAGTACCTGTAGCTCCTTACATCATAGGAAGTCCATAAATATTTATAGAGTTAAAAAAAGATACAGACCAAAGTTAACAAGAAAACTGGCATGATTGACCAAATTAAAAAAAAAAATCAAAAAATAGAAAAGAATCAATATACTTCTTTGGATAGATCCCATACATACACACAATTATTTTGATGAGTGTTTACTGAATAAATAAGTTATGCAACGTGCCCAGCAGTGGGCAGTCTACATTTTACTTTGTCGTGAATCGGAGCCAATTACTGTAGTTGTATTCACAATGGCAAGTTAGAGGAAAAGCAGTACAGATCAGATGATTGCAATGGTATTCATTTTTTGTTAATAATGACCCCTTAGATCACAAAATTAATTTAGTATGGCTTACTTGTGTAGTTCTTACGAGTCCTGTTGACATGAATTCTGCAGCACAAATTAGCATTTAAGGAGTGAGAAAGTATCATATCATCTGTAGTTGTCTACATGTATAAAAATCTCTAGTTGATGGGCCAAGGGTGTACCTCATAGGAAGAGCATGTGTGTAGCATGTTGCAGATCCTGGGTTTAACCCCTCTAGTTGAAAGAAAGCTCAGACAAAAATATGTAAGTGAATATATATATATGAATATATATAAATATATATGTGAATATTTATATTTAAATCGAGTATCAGGAAAAGCTTCATAGTAAAAGGAATACTTTTTGGTTGAATCTAAGGCTTTGTCCTTCACTTCAAAATATCTTGTTTTAGGAGCTGGGTATTTGGCTCAGTGGTTCTGGTGCCTGCCTCCCTGGTGCAAGGACCCAAGTTTGATTCCTGGTACCCAAAAAAAAAAAAGGTCTTGTTTTAGTTGGTGTAATTGTCAGTTGTTATTAGAGCTTACTGGATTTGCTAGCTTTGGAGCTTTACTCTGGTGTGAAAAGGACAGCTCCTGTAAGTAACAAAACAGGAGCAGTCATGCATACTCGTAATCCCAGCAACTCCAGAGCAGGAGCAGGAGGAACACTTAAACCCACTAGTTCAATGCCAACCTGGAAACAGTAAATTTCTGTCAGTTAAAACAAAGATAGTCTATACCAGATTAGGTAAATAAAACCACTCCTGGCCACCATACGTCAAATGCATCATAGAAAAAAAAATACTTTCTGAAGAGAGCCTCATTTTGTAGAAATGCAATTTTTCAAAATAGATATTTACCTTTTCTTCTCATTAATACTTCTTAACATCTTTCAAGAAGAGTTCTGAACTCAAGTTCCGTCTGTCAAGAGCTGGATCAAATGCTAACCTTGTAGTAGAGGCTTCCTTGATGGCTGTATTACAATTTAAGAATTATTTACACCGTGCTTTGCTTTTGCAACAATTTTTTCTATATTCTTTCCTACTAAACTTTTCCTGGAGGGCAGAGAAGCATTTTACTGACTTACGTTTGCTGATTTGTCCTTTCTCTCTCTCTGTAGACTGCCCAAGGTGGTGGCCATCGGACTCTCCTCTACGGACATGCCATTCTGCTGCGCCACTCCTACAGCGGCATGGTGAGTGGGCATCTGAGTGCGTCTGCTTGTGGGCATGGTGATCCTCTTGGGGACACACAGTCAGGAACTGTTGATAGTAGCATTTCTGCGGTGGTATTAATGGGCTTTATGTGCATGTCCTTTTACATTTTTGTACCTTGTTTAGTTTTCAGTGATGAAGGTTAGCTTAGGTGACATTTAAAGTCCTTCTGTCATTATTTGACTTATTTTTCATATCTTTTCATAGAGTGGATTTAAAGTCACATAGATACTTCTCTTTTCTAAATTTGTCTTACACAGTTCATTATAAAGGAATCAAGACATCTTTCTAAGCGACACCATGAAAATACTACTTGTGTGCTCCACTCCAATTTTAACCACTTCTTTTTCTTTCTGATTAGGTGCTTTCTATTCTTTTTTCACATCAATTTCTTTTACCCAATTGTACATTGTCTTTCTCTCAGGCACTGTTTTCTCATTCTCAATTTCTTATATATTGAAAAAGTAACATATGTTTTAATATGATTTATAAATGCTATACTTCAAAACATTACACATGTATGTAATATATGAAATATATAAAAATTTCATTCCAATAATTTAAAAGTATTTTAAATTGTAAAAAGCACACATTTATTTTATAATATTTGTAAGAAAAATTTTTTTACTTTACTATTATGAGATTATATTAATCCGAGAAAACTTACTAGAAAACTGTTATGAGAGTTTACTAACATGAGAAAACTGTTGGAGATTTTTAAATGTATTTCTTTACCAAATTTTTTACATCATTTAGATCTAATATATGACCAAATTTATATCATTATTTTTAACATTAACATTACATTAATATTATTTTTAACATTATTTAACATGAGTGTTTTCTTATTATTTAAATTGTTCATCAGTATAATTTTTAGTGGTTAGTCAATAGTCAAATATCTAGAAGTATAATAAAATTAATCATTCCTTTTTAAAAAGGAGATAATTCCCATATTGTATGTCTTTGTTACTTGTTGCTGAGACAAGATATTGGACACCCAGAGTAAAAAGAGGAAAAGTTTATTTGGCTCATACTTCTTAGGGGTTTCAGTCCATAATGGGCTGGCTCCAAGGCAGCGTGGTGTGGCAGGGGGGCATTGCAGAGGAGAAACAGTTCATGACAGGCAGAAGGTAGAAATAGCATCCAGACAGCAAGCAACGAGCGACAAACAACCAAGCACCCTCTTTCTGTCCCTTGCACCTTATCCAGGCTACCCACCCTTAAGGCAGATAGCACTCACACCTATGGTGGGGCTCCACTAATCCTACCCAGGACTATGACAAACCAATCAGTGGACTAATTTAGTAATCACACATTCTTGATCCCAGCATTACACACTCCATATCCACCACCTCTGAAAAGCCCCAGCTGTGACCACATGAGGCTTTGGGTGGGGGGCATCTAGACACAAATTGTAGCATTGTATAAAGATTTAAACATCCTCAATACCAAGCTCAAGCATGCACAAACTTTTAATCTACATCATGGATATTGGTGTAATAATTTAATTTTAAATGTCAGGTTAGAAAACTAAATATTATTCTTTACTTAGTGATAGATTATTAAGATATCAATAGCCAACGCCACAATTATCAAGCCATTCTTGACAAAATTACCTAAAATCAACAAATAAACCAAAACAAGAAAATGTTTTATCTGCCGTTTCTATCTAACATTGTTCTAAAAGTCTTTGCTGACTAGAAATACCGTAGTTTACTTTAATAGAGTGTCTGGATATAAGAGAAATATTTTTAAAATGGTGTAGAACAATTATCATCATCTCATAGAAAGAATTCTTTTTTTTTTTGATAGCATTCAAAACTCTAGTCTGAAAATTCCTCTTAGAATAGTTAAGAAAGTGGACTTAATGTCTTGGTAGAGTTTAGTATTGCTTTACTGCATGTAGGCAGCCTGGAATTACCTTACTCAACCTCTGTGAGCCTGCATTTGTGTCTGAAAATGTCATCCATTCTGAAAATATTATTGAGTATCTGCTGTGGGCAGTGTCAGAGATCCTGAATATAGTACGGAATAAGACCAAGTTCTTGTCTCTGTGGAACTTAATTAACATTTAATAGAATAACTGTAGTAAGTACTTTAGTGTTGCTGCGAAGACTAGAAGAATGCATGAGTGGTGATACTGCCTCTTCTGCAATATTACTGAGGAACGTAAATAGGATTTTAATAGTCATTACCTTTTGTTTTTGCTTGAGAAGTTTGAACATTATAAAGTTTTCACTCTGCCCCAAAGATAGGCGTTTAAACAGTTGAGAAAAATCTTTAAGTCCCTTGGAATGCCTGTCTGAAGGTCATATTCACATCCTGCACCGGCTGAAGACAGGTCTGCAGACTCTTGAAGCCTCTTTTTTTGGAGCTTTGAGAGCCAGCACTTTGTAGTCAAGAGGCTGAATCAGTCTCCACGTCACTTTGATTTTCTATACTTCCCGGCACTGACTTCCTCCTGCTTTGCAAGCCTATCTGCCTTCCATCAGCTCAGCCCCTGCCTTCTCACATTCATGGATGTGCGCTTAGCTGGGTGGGCCTTGTATCTGAATAGCAATTCCATAGGCTTTGCAGTGATCATTTAATTTCCTTTGCATTAGACTAGAGTGGCCTGGGCTTGCTCAGGCCCCAGAATTGTCTCTGGGTCCTCTTTTCAGGGCCCTGTGCTTACTGGCAGTGCTCTTGCTTCAGGAAGATGGTAGTATATTTTAAGCTCATACCACATTCCTTTTTGTGTCGTCATTATTGTAACACTTAACAAGGTGTTTGAAGTTGCAGTGGGGAAAGGGAAGTTAGCCTGACAAATGATCCTGAACTTTATGTCCGAGAATATACAGTTAGAAGCTGGGCATGGAGACCCATTTCTATAATTCTAATGCTCAGAAGGCTGAGGCAGGAGGATCACAGGGAGTTTGAGGCCAGGCTGGGCTACATATTGAGTTCAAGGTAGCTTGAACTGCATGGTGATACCCAGTTAAATACATGTATTTGTGTGTGTATATATACGTACAGACACATACACTTTAAGGTTGTGAGGACAGAGGAAATAATGGTGTAGTGAAAGTTTGATTACTCTGATAGAGATGCATTACGTGTAAACACACTATGAGGCTGCCATTGTTTACACCAAGGGGAGTACTTCAATTCTGGAAGTATTTCAAAGAAAGATTTTCTTAAATGAAAACCAAACCAGAAGATGAAAGAGAAGAGTTTTCAAATTTCTGTTTGGAGCAGATTTCGGTCTGTCAGATCACGTCGCGCTCTGGCTGGTAATCATGAATATCACATGAAGTGAGAGGTACACAGAGCCATCCCGGTTACTTGTCTTCTGACACTGACGGAGCACATTTCCTGAGTCTTTTATTGGGGGGTGGGGGTGTTTCCTTTAGACTGTCGCTTCTGATGCGCGCTGTGTAAGTGCTGTTCTGCGCAGGAATTTAAAAGCCTGGCTTTGTGCAGAAGCATCCAGATTGTCAGAAAAAGACTAATCAGCAGAGATAGACGGATGTCAAATTACTTGTCAGAGTAAGACTCGGCTGTGACTACCAATGTTTAGTGACAACTGCTGATTTCTGTGTTTTCAGTATCTGTGCTGTCTGTCCACCTCCCGGTCTTCAACTGATAAGCTGGCTTTTGATGTGGGTTTGCAAGAGGACAGCACAGGTGAGAGAGCCTTGCACCACGGTAAAGCTGTTTTCAGGGACAGTGTGGCTGGGACTGGGCGGGAGGACGGATGTTATGATACACGATCAAAGACGCATTAGACATGTATTTTTATGGGCAGGGAAATGGAAGAGAAATTACTTTCTCCAAGTAGAAGGAGGAAATACACAGCCTGGTCAAAAAATTCGGTGTGTGTTTAAATATAAATTTATGAGATAAAAGCCGTGTTGCCAGTCATAACCCTCAAAATATCCCCCCTCACTTGGAACCCGCTCATCTGATCTTCAGCCACTTTCTGAAGCAGCCCGGAAATCCTCCATATGCCTTTTGTGGCTGCTTCCTTGTCCTGAATCCAAAACATTTGCAGCAATTTCTGTCAATTAGAAACATGATGGCGCGTCCCTGTTCGCCTTACTCCAGGCCCGGCATTGTAGAACTTCTCAAAGTCAAAATGACCACGAAAGATAAACGTTTGGAGTTAGTTCAGAAGACGTAGGCAGCCAGCCGCAACCGCACAGTTGTGGAAAGATGAGTTCCAGAACTGCTTCAGAAAGTGGCAAGAAGGCCAGGATGTGTTTGACGTGAGGGGGAGCGTGTTGGGATGCAATGACTCTGTCTTCTACTGTGGTTTGGAAATATTACGCGTTCACTGTCTTCTTTCGCTCTACCTCATACACATATTTTGTACTGGTTGTTCTCATTTAATTACTTCGATGTTCAAACTAGTCTTCAAGCCCTGTTATTGTGGTATATTTAGAGAACAAAACCAGAACTTGATTGACTTGGTTTGAAACATGTTAGCGCGCACTGATTAGTTTGTGAAGTATTACCTCGTGTCTCTCATCTTTCATCTTAGCAATATTTTGACAATGAAAATGTGACATTTGTAATCTCAGCATTCAAACAAAAAGGCACAACCTGAAAGTCTCCTTCTTTCTCTGCCCTCAGATATTGTGCTGCGTATTTGTGTACATAGACATGTTTTAAAACCAAAAATAAATGTGTATATTGAAACATAGCTGCTTCTGGAAAATCAAAATAGGGCAATCCAAACTTCATTTGTATTCTTCTTCTTTTTCTGAGGACTTTATGTTCATATAACTCTGACAGTTTGTCTTGTCTTCACATTGGGCGTGGAAGACTTCTGTAATTAAAGAATAGTTAGGTAGAAAGACTAAAAGGAAGTAATCCAGATTTTATTAAGTTCTTCCTTTCAAGGGAGGGATGAGGCTGTTCCCTCACCCCTTGACCCTTAAAAAAAATATTTTTCTGCTATGGTAGGGTGACTGTAGCAGTTAGTATGTTTATCTCAATAAGGTAAAATAAAAAATCTAAATGTTTTCACTTAAATGGTAAATGTTTGAGATAAAAATCTTTAACATGATTGAACATTGTACATTATGGGCATGTGTCACATGTATCTCTGGGTATCATGTGGTACCCCGTTGATATGTATAATTTTTACATTTTTGTGTGTCATGTAAAAATAAATGAAAAATGCTTCCTCACAGTCTTCAAATTTTCAAAATCCATAAATTGGATAAAGATAAATTTATACTGACTGAATTAAATTCTGATCGGATATATTTTCCGTATGTAATTTTGAGAGTCCTTAGCATCAGAAAGATAAATGTGTTATTCTGATCTTTATTTTATTTTTTTATTGGCTCAGTTACTCTATATTTTTGCTGGTTTTTTTAGTTTTCTCATTTGACTTAATGTATTTTAGTACACAGCTAAAAAGCAGATCTTAAATTTGGTTTTCAAAAGAAGTATAAAACATGATCTAGAACTTGGATTTTATGTGCTGAGATGATTACATAAGGGGCAACATTAGAAGACAGTCCCTCTCCCTCCTTTGTGATTCCCTTATGCTACTACTGTCTTTATCCCAAAGATCTCTATTTCTTCTGAATTATAGATTTTAAAAATTATATATGTCCTAATATACTTGTCTAAACTAAGCTTACAAGGTGGATGATTTTTTTCCATCTCGCTTCTTGACGTATGTCCAGCTACATAATCTACGATTGGCAGATAGACCAGACACTAAATATTTGGGTGAATGAACGCAAAATACTTTTAACCCTGGAAATGTGGATTGGCTGTGTGAAGATAAGGAATTCTGTCTGGTAATGGGCAAATAAGATTGGTTTGTGTAAAAAAATCAGCACAAGGCACAGATTACATATTGACTGTAAGATGCTGAAGAAATATTACTGGATGATTCATGGATTTGTTCATGCAAAATTAATTTTTATTGGGTGCCTCCAGTATGCTAGTTGAGCTGGGAAAACCCCAGTGAACAAAACTTGCAGCATCCCTGCTGTTCTGAAACACATTCTGACATCATGGGATTAGTCAAGAAATAGAAATGAGTTAGAGAAAAGTAATAAAACTGGATAAGAAAACAGAGTGGTAATTACTAGATAATAGATATTGGTAGAACACCATTGCCATTGTTTTGTAAACCTTAGATTTAGATTTTAAAAGTAATTGGGAACATATTACAGAATTGTTTGCATCTGCTTACATAAAAGTACTGACAGATGGAGAATGAACCCGTGGTTCGTGTTTATGCTTGACTTGTGGTAGAAGAAATTATTTAATATATGTCCAAATCTTTTTGTATTAAGAATTTCTTCTACTGGCTCTTAGATGAATGGAAGCTACCACTGTTAAAAAAAAACAGGCAAAAAAATAAATAAAAAGGACAGGATGATAAAATTTTAGATTCCAACAACTTTGCATCCTTTTTGAATCAGCATCCCCCCAAAAGTACTGAGATTTAAAGAAATTCTCACATCACAAAGCTCAACTCCTTTTGAAGACCAAGTGTCAACAAATTAGGTATTTTTCGGAGAGCCTTGTGATGAGAGTAATCACACATGATTGCATACAGAATGAAATCAGTTTTGCATGACTGGTGGGTTCGTTCTTACATTAGTATACATAAATGTCCTTTCAAAGCGCTTCTTAGGGGGGCAGATACCAAATTTCTATGGGCAGATACCTATTTCTATGAGAAGAAACTTTGCATTTAATTGTGTCTTATTCTAAGGTAAGTTCTTTTCATTTTTGTGGTTTAAGAGATTAATTTGCATGGAAATCCTGTGAGTGGAAACATTGAAAAATAAAATGAGCTTTAAGGTACAGTGCACTTATGTGATTCACGCTTCTGTCACTCGGCAGGTGAGGCTTGTTGGTGGACTATACATCCTGCCTCTAAGCAACGATCTGAAGGAGAGAAAGTACGGGTTGGCGATGACCTCATCTTGGTTAGCGTGTCCTCTGAAAGGTACTTGGTAAGTATGGAAAGCGCCAAGGGCCATGGGGTTGGTGCTATGGTAAATGAAAGGTCATTGCAGTGACCTCTTTACAGTTTATGCTGCAAATTATCTAGAAAAAGTGCTTATAAATACACCTGCGTCTGTATGTGGCGAATTATAAATAACTCCTCATACAGGAGAATAAATGTGCAAATGTGACTTAGCAGCTCTGGTGAGGCCGGCTCCCCTACTGACCTTCCATGTGTGTTCGTGACATTGATAGTGCCTGTTGATAATTCTGTTATTAATAGAATGCGAATGAAGTCTAATCAGGAATTCCACATTTCAAGGTCTTTATTTTGTGCTCAGTGTAAAGGTCATGTTAGTGATGTGATTACCTCTTTTGAGATTTATAAAAGTAATTTCAAGCAAGTGGGAAACACTATGTTAAGGAGAAATAGATGCAATAAAAACAGTTTGTCTATCATTGACATTGAATTATTTCTAAGAGAAGTAGTAGCTGAAAATGGGAAAATGTGTTTAGTCATTCAATATATTTTAATTTATTTAGTAAACTGTGATTTGATTAAAGAATACTACTATGCACAAGGCCATAGAAGATTGAAATCTGTGGAAGCACGAAGGATACCAGTATAAAATACCTCTTTTTATTTTAAGGCTGAGAAAGTAGTTAAACACAGTATGAGATGATATGAGCTTTACATGAACGTGCATGTACACATTGCAGATGTGATATTTATGTGGTTGATGATTGAAACACAAATCAAAGGTGGAGCGTTTGCCACGAATTGATTTGCCATGAATCAAACTTGTGTGTGACTGATTAGGAGTAAGTAAGCGACTGGTACCTATTTGCTCCCTAAACATGGAAATATGGAGGTCTGGGGATGTTTTGAGTGAGGTTTGATTTGCCAGTAGCTTTAGCTTCAGCTTTCACGCATTTCTGGGGAGATTTTGGCTTTCTTTCACTCACCTTGTGGAAAGAGGCAGTGATAAAGACAGGGAGGAGGTGTAACAGTGCCTCATGTAACTGACAAGAACTATTAACTTCCGTGGCGTGCCTGCTGTTGCATAGGCATCGGGAGGCCTGAAGCATTTCTCTTTTTCCATTTCCCAGTTGATGTAAGTGGAAACAGTCACCATGCGGATTTCTGGGAAACCCAGATGTGCCGCTGATTCAATAAGCATGTATTAATCCCTTGCTATGTTGCCTGTGCTGCTTTGAGACGTTGACGTATTTTGGATCAGGAGATGTGCTTTTTGAATTGTAGTTGTTCTTGGAATCCAATTGAGTAGAAATAATTCATGCAGACTTTTGAGTATATAAATTCTACACGTATTTTGATATTGTACAACTTATCCCTTCCACTATTTAGCAGAGTTTATTGGCCAAGATTGTATTATTACACAGTGAAGTACTAGAAAACTAGGAACCTCACACAGGTAGGAACTTCTAATATCACTTTAATAGCTGACCACCTGATCAAATCATGTAACTCCCTATAGCTTCTCACTTGTGAAGTGGGGTTGATGCTAATGGTGATGCCAAGATGCCTGTTAGGAAGCGATGAGATCAAGGATGTGAATATGCTTTAAATTACAAAGCCCTGTACAATAGTGCTTTATTGATAGTAATAATAATGGTACACAAGGCTCACCTATTAACTTTGGAGATAAACTCCTTATTAGTTAAGAAAATCACAACTTTCAACTTAAATTTCAGTTAGTTAAGTTCTCTTTCCTCCATAACTTTCTAGACCGAGCTACAAAAGAGCCCTTCTTTTGTTAAAACTTCACTTTCGTTTGGTAGTGAAGGCAGTGTTCATAGCTCCTGGAACCCAGCACATGCAGTAACAGGAACAACGGGAAAGACTGAGGGCACAGCACACCGTTTCTGACTTGGAAGAATTATTGGAGGAAACAAACCATGTCAGTCAGCTTTCTGTCACTATGACAACATAGCTAAGATAAGCAATTCCAAAAGAAGCAATTCCAAAGGAAGGTTTATTTCAGCTCATGGGCTCAGATTTCACTATCAGTTGGCTCCATTTGGGTCTTGGTTGAGAGAGATCCACATGGCAAGGGGTCCATGGGAGAGCAAAGCTGTTTTTTGCCTGATGCCCAGGAAGTAGAGAGAGACAGAGAAGAAGGGACTGAGGTCTTAATGTCCCTTTCAGGGATACACAACCAATGACTTGAATCCCTTCTAACCAGGCCCCCAGTCCTCCACCACCTCCCAGCAGTGCCATCAACTGGGACCCAAGCCTTCAACACATAAGCCTTTGAGGGGTAATTAAGATCCAAGCCATAGCACACATCATACACATGTAAGTGTATGAGGATATCATGAGGCAGTAAACACTCATTGTGCTATAGATCAGGGATGCTGAAGGAAGTTCCTCTGAGTGACAAATGGCTCATGATTGTCACAGGTTTCTGCTGTGATTGATGAGTAGGGTATAGATAGAGTACCATGGACTTATGTGGGACACTCAGTGATAAAGACTTAGGAAATAAGGGCAAGAAGTGATGTAGTGAAAGGACTTTGAAATGGAGGCAGCTGGCACAATCCACACACTGAACCCCAGGTAACTTCAGCTAGGTCGTACCCATATGACTTCATTCGTTAGTACCAAGTTGGCAACTGTGAGCCTGGCCACACATGTAACCTCATGACCCATCTAGAGGATGGAGAAAATAGAGAACTTAACTTGTAGGGGTGTTAGGATTAAATGTTTCAAGTGCAGCAAGGTGCTTAGCTCTTGCACCACTAGTTACTATCATTAGTTACCTGGAAGAATTTTATCGATGGGAGTACTTAAAGAAACTGTGTATATTTAATCAGAAGAAGACAAAGTTAGGAAAGAGAGAGGCAAATATTACAGGAGATATTAAATAAAGATATGTGAAAATAAGGTTTATATTCTGAGAAAATGCTGAGTGGTTTTAAAATGTTTTAATGTTGTGGTTTGCAAGCAAATTAGTTAAAAATAAACATAGCAATTCATTGGCTACAACTCCTCAATAATCACTGACATCTGTTAGCTGATACGCTATTTTTCCTTTATGATCAGTGATGGCTAAACTCAGGTTAATCTATTTAATTGTACATTTGAAATTCTGTTAATATAGAACATTGGAATGCTAAATTGATTAAAACTGATTTAAGGATTGATTTTTTTTCACCCCATGCTCTGCGAAGGTGGCTTATGGACAGAAGAGGGCGTATGTCTGAACATCAAGACAGGATTTCCAAGGATTAAGAATTTAATCTTAAAAATATTTGTAAACTACTCACCAAAATACTGTATTTTCTAGTTTTTGCTGTTTTATATTCTAACATGCAAGGATATCTTAATCATCTTTTCAGGAATAGCCAGAAGGAAAACAACTTCTTTTTTACTTCTTTTGGGAATTTTGTCTTTGGAAGAGGGCTTTAGCCAAGCAGTTTAAGTATAAGAGAAATGTACAATTTAAAGTATAGAACACAGGACACATGGGTATTACTACTAATAAGGCCTGCAAAACATTTTTTCGCATGTTAGATGTAGAGTCATCCCATGCCCATGCACAAAAATTTCCAGGCTGTGGATCAGGTTGCTGATTTCCTATTGATTTTCCATTGGTCAGGTTGCCTATAGACAAGAAATGTTTTTATGGTCCCTAAAAGTATTGCTTGACAGACAGCTGCTTAAACATAAGTGAGAAAAACAGAATCTTTTACTCTACGGAAAGAAAGGAAGCTGTTAATAGAGGCCATTCTCCATTCCTCCTATCCACCTTGGAATTTTTGATAAATAGAAAGATATTTTAATTGCATAATGGACGGTGAATTGCCTCAAGTTGTATAAAAGCAGTGATAAAAGATAGTGGCCATAAGTATGTGCAAGTGTTTTATTATACCGACAGATTCTTCTTGGGGCGAGGGTGAGAAGGTTTGAACCCAGAGCCTCCTGCATGCTAAGTATGTTCTTCCGCTGAGCTATACCCTTTGGCCCACTAATTCAGTTTTGATTCATTTACTTTGAGCCTTTGTTGTTATTGCCCTGTGGCTCCGACGATGAAATCATAGACTCTTACATTTGGAAAGAGCATCTATCTCTATGCCCCTCATTTAGTTTTTCTCTTTCAGGAGAAAACACCGAAGCCTGAGGGTCATATGACTTGTTTACTTGTGTTTCCTGTCCTTGGATGATAATTTACTCAGAATGCTGGTCCCCGGAGCCTAAGTGCCTGACCTGTAATGAGAGGGACATAAATGATGAAGCATCGAATAAAGGTTCAGAGATTCCTAAGCATTTTGTGGTCATGGACCTCTGGTGATCTGACAAAGCTTTTTGACCTAACGTCATAATAATGTTTTAAAAGGTATAAAACAAATATAGAGAGTTACAAGGAAACTAAAACTATCCATGTATACATCTATAGGCATCGGCTTTAGAATTCCTGGGGGTGACTTAGAATGTAATTTCTGTTTCTGAGAAAGTATGCTTGTATTATATCATATCTTATCATACAAAAAAGTTATTGGACCAGCTGGTCTTACTTTATTCCTTCGAAATTTGAATCAACAATTTTGACAAGATCCTCAGATGATTCATGTGCTTTATAAATCCGGAAAGCACTGACAGGTGATTGAAAGTGAGCTTGGGGAGTGGTGGCTGCCTGAAGCCCTGATCCTGCCATGTTATTGTATGTATTCTAGGGTGGTTACATTTTTCAGCCTAAGTCAGACCTTGCTTTCAATCTCTGCCAACATCTATTTTTGCTTTAAGGACACCTCACCTTTGTTTTGGCACTTGAAGCTGTTACTCCGTTCTGAATATTTAATAACACAGGTCTGGCTTTCCTCTTCCTCTGATTTCTTTTTGCTGTTTAAGCAGCAGAATTACATAGAAGCATCCAAACTTTTTATGCTCAGGGGATATTTTATTTTGAGGAACAGACTTTACTTAGGTGACTTTCTGTGATTGTTATGTATGATTTGTCTTTAGGCTGAGGTATAATTTGAAAATTGCACTTCAATTTCTCTACCTCTTTGTTACTTTTCTAAAGCCTTAGCCATTCGCTGCCTAAAATACCTGGTCCGTGATCTGGGAGCAGCATTTGTCTGCAGGCGGATAGGTGCTCACTTCTGAGAATGTACCCAAGCGCCAAAGGGGAGGCTCTGCTGTCTGGAATGTTTCTGCTCCTGTGGGTGCAACTTCTACCTTCCCCTTGGCAGATCTTGTTTGACAGCTGGGCTGGGCAGGCCTAGCCTGCTGCCAGTGACAGTTTCTAAAAAATGAAAATCCCTAAAGTGGCGTAACACAAAAGCTTCTTTGTGTTTTAAATATGTACACTCAACACATTAGCATTGTTATTATTCGTGTCCACATCTAATGGGTGCTTAAACTTATTTGGAGACAGTGTCTTTAAAAGGCAAGGCCCAGGCCAGGGGATGCCACTTGCTCCCTCAAAGCCCGCGTCCCCTGAGAAACCCACCTCCCATGTGGAAATTCCACAGTGCTTCCCACAAGGCCCTGTATGGTGAGTTTGCTCCAGAACACCGGCAGAAGTGTTCTCTGCAGATTTTACATACTGTGCATGGCATTTGGTGTCTGTATTGTGCCTTCCCACAGGATTACAAGTACCCTCGGGGTAGAGAATGCATTCTATTAATACTTAGCCCAATATTTTATACATAGTACATTCTGTGAATCCATGATGAATTAACAAATAATTATCATCATATCGCATGGGCTTTTACTTGGTTTCAAAACCAAAAATATTAGTATTTAAAAATTATCTTTAGTTTGATAAAAATTTGTTTGATAAAAATTTGTATCATAAACACATACACATGCTCTTTTTTCATTAAGAATGGAAATAGGAATATTTGTAGAATTACTTTAAAATATTTTTAAAAATCTCATGCCTTTATTTTCAGTGTTGGGGATTAATCCCTGGGCCTTGTGCACGTTAATCAGGTGGTCTGCTTCTAAAACTTATGCTGTTTTGATTTTCTTCTTTTTTTTTTTTTGAACTGGGGATTGAACTGGGGTCCTTGTGCTTGTAAGGCAGGCCACCGAACCACTGAGCCAAATCCCTGGCCATGCTGTTTTGATTTTAAAGGTTTGGTTCTCTGCTCTACATACTTGTTTATTGAATAACCCTGTTTAGGATTAGGGACACTGTTGTGAACCTGTGTCAGATAGCACAGAAAAAGAAAGAAAACTACACCAAATAATTACTTGGTGATAATTGCCGTGAAAGACAATATATCTTGCTTGTTTGTGGCATTAGGTAGGATATGGTTAATTCATAGACAAAGGATTTTAACGTGTTGGAAAAGAAATCAAACTTCCCTAAAAAAAAACAAAAAAAAAACAAAAACCAAAAAAACAAAATCAAAGTTCCCTGAAGCAATCTTGGTTGGGATTGTGCATAAGAATGGTGGCTCAGGTGAAGAGGAGGTTGTACACAGAGTATTTGTTTCTTTGTCATTGCTGTGACTAAACACCCAGCAATGTCAACAGATAAGGCTTATTTTGGCTCACGGTTTCCAAGGTTTTAGTCCACGGCCTGTTGGACCCAGGGGGAAGACTGTGGCAGTGATTGCTGCTCATTCTGTGGCAACTTGGAAACAGAACAGGAAGTAGGGAGGGAGGGAGGCAGGGAGGGAGAGGGAGACAGTGGGGTGAGGTGGGTGGGGGAGGAAGGAAACAAGAGTGCTCCTACAGGCTTTGTCCTGGAGCATACCCCTTCCAGGTCCTGCTTCCCCGCCCCCCAAAGGCTGCCTCCCTGTTCTCTATCATTTCTCTCTTATTTTGCTCTTTAAGGTATTTATATCTTGGGTTTCTCATGTAAGAGAAATTATTCAATATTCTTCTATGTCTGTTTTTTTTTTAACTTAGCATTATGATCTCCAGACTCATCCATTTTCCTCCAAATGATTCAAATTTATCCTTCTTATTGGCTGAATAGTACTTTGTTGTGTGCAAATGCATTGTTTTTACTCCCCTATTGACGGGGATATAGGCTGCTTCCATACTTTAACTATTATGAATTATTCTGCTAAAAACATGGGGGTGGATATATCATTATAATCAATTCTTTAACTCTTTTGGGAGGGTATCCCTACAGCTGAATCAAACCCAATTTCTGTTTTTGATTCAAAAATCCTACTCCTGGACACATGAGCTTTCTAGGGGACATTGTAGATCAAATCATAACAACAAATAAGACAACCATTGCAGGTTAATGACAGGTATAAGAGCAAGTGGTTCTTAAATCTCATACCTCACCAGGTACACTTTTATTGATTTGGAAAAATTACTGATATAATTAGGCATATGTCACAACGTCAGGAGTTTCTTCTTTTTTTTTTAAGAGAAAGAGAAGCAAAGACCTGTTCTCGCTGAGGACTTCTGAACCGTCTACTTAAGTAAAGAGCCCCTGAGGGTTTCTAGGTCAGTGGGTTACACGTAAGGTGTCTGCTTGAAGCTGTGACTGGCCTTGAGCTTAGTGGGATGGTCAGAATCCTAGGAAATTGCTGGTATGATTAAAATCTTTAAAAGCCCACTCTGTCACTAGCATTGGGAAGGTGTTGCCAAAACACTGCAGAGATGTTGCTGATGTTTTTTGGGAAGATTCCAGGAAAGCAAGTTGTGATTTCTCCATAGTGTTAAAGTTGGAGGGAGGGCAGGGCTATGGGGGAAACATAAGAACCAAGACATACCATGTAAAGGTACAAGATCCCGATGATAAATGTAACTGTGTTATTTGCTTTAAATGTACCAGTGAACTAAATGGGGGAAAAATAAAATAGAATTGTAAAGGTGGTCAAATAGTGGTTAGTAATATAGGCAAGTCATTTGACTGTACTTATACTTTTGTTCTTGGTTAACATTTGATAAACTCCCACATTATGTCTCAGAGATGTTAAATATGATATTGTTTTAAAATATTTCTATTTTTAAGAAGAAGACTCTGAAAATTTTAAGGAAAATCTGAGCTTTGGAGCAAATTTATTACCTGCTTTCTCATAGCTGTTGGGAAATAGTGCCACCTAGTGGTTATTATGTCAAATTGCAGATAACAGTTCCTAAAGGACTCCATAAACTGAAGGCACTGGTTCAAAAGTGCATTCATCTACGTCTTTGCCCATAAAGTGGTGCAGTGTGCTGCGAAGAAAATTTCCATACAATTTTAACTTCCTACTGTCTGTACCACTGTGTTGTCCAACAAGTCTTAATACAAAAGTGATCTCTTTTTTAAAAGACAAATTGATTTAGGGTATTTCTTGTCTGTTTTCTGATGAACAATCTAAGTTAGTAATTTCTAGAACGGAGCTGAAAAATATACCTAGGATCAAAGGGGAACTTTTATTATTTTTTACTACTACTAGTCCTTTAGTTTGTGTGCACACGTGTGTGGTTGCTGTGGCACTGTGGATGGAACCTAGGGTCTTCACGTTGAGATTATCCCTGAGCCCATGTACTAATTTTTATTTTTAAGACAGGGTCTCCCTTAAGTTGCTGAGTTGCCCAGGCTGGGCTTGAACTTGCAATCCCCAGAGTGTAGGGATTGCAGGCATGCGCCACCACGCTTTGCTGAGTCTTTAGCTCTTCATCTGTGGAGGTGAGCTCGCTCTAAGCAGACCGTTGTAAATCTTCAGTGTTGTGATCACATTCTGGGACTTATCAGTGGTGCCTCCTCTTGCCTCTTGCTGCAGCACTTGTCCTACGGCAATGGCAGTTTGCATGTGGACGCAGCCTTCCAGCAGACTCTTTGGAGCGTGGCCCCTATCAGCTCAGGAAGTGAAGCAGCCCAAGGTAACGACGCACTCATTACTCGGCCTGGATGCACTCATTACTCGGCCTGGATGCACGGTGGATGTTTATCTTTGGAAGTGTAATAATGAGCTAGTGGTCAGGCAGAGGTCTTCTCTGTCTAAATATTCTCTCATGCAGATACATGATATGAAGATTCTTGTTGAAATTGCTCTTTCCTCGTGAAGCTTGTGCTGAGATTTATGTTGCCTTGTTTTTATGCTGTCGTCAACTTGAGCTCATTTGTCAGCTTCCTGCATTAGCTTTCTCCGGGCTGCTTGCTCTATAATTTTTCGGTCTCGGGATTGCTCCAGTAGGCTGCTGTTGCATTTCTATTTTCCAGGTTCCTGCCCTAGAGCTGTGTGATGCAGCAGAGGTCCCAGGACCGTATCTGCCTTCGTCCCGGCTGTTCTCACTTACACGGTTTCAGATCTGATCCTGCACATGTTTGTTTGATGGAGGTCTTTACCTGGCCGAGGTCAGGGAAATCACTAGTAAGAGTGCTCAGAGGTGCCAGCCAACACTGGACACCTCTGTAACGCTGGCCAGATGCTTATGCCTCGCTGGAATTCTGCCTGTGAAAGTAGAATATTGGGCCAGATGGTTTGTCTGGCCGCCAACACCTAACCGGGACGATGTTGATATAAATGACTTTTTGTCTCTACAGGGTATCTGATTGGTGGCGATGTCCTGAGGTTGCTGCATGGGCACATGGATGAGTGTCTCACCGTCCCTTCGGGAGAACACGGCGAAGAGCAGCGGAGGTTGGTACCTGCGCCTAGCATGTCGTGCTGGCGTTTATGTGGTTGGCACATTTTTAATTTGCCCTGCTATACATTTTCTTAACTAAGAACACAGGGCCTTAGCATCGTGTAGAGTGGACTGTGGGCGTTCATCTGTCTCCTGAGGTGACCCATTTCTTGCCCTGCTTGGAAATGTTTATTCTTACGTTTTTCTTACCTGCCAGTAGGAGAGGAATTGAAAACGTTTATATAACTATAATACATTCAGATGCACTAAGCAAAATAAACTGAGTGGGAGGAGTGAACACATCTACTTAAATGTTATTAAATGTCCATTAATTTTGATTATCTTCCTAAAAACTTTAATCTCAAATTCAGTTTTAGGGTCAAGAGTTCTCAAATTATACAAAATTTCGGGGCTTTTTACTGCACCCCCCTTTTATTGACACATGATGAATTTTACTGCTCTCCCTCATATTTTATGTGATACAGTTTCTCTCTTCTGCTAATATTATGTGGCACTGAGACAAGATGAAAGTAGTCTGTATCCACTGGGAGGAAATGCACAAATATTATGAAATTATAAAAATACTTAGGGTGATTTGATGCTGCTGAATCGCAAAGTTGAATACATCCGTGAAGGAGATCATAGTGAGAGAAGGCTTTGGATGGGCTTTTTATGTCTTTAAATCTTTTAGTGGCCTTTTTTCATATTATTAATATGGATGCTTGGGTAGCTGTTTAATAAAGAATTATTATGGTAAGTTAATTAAAAAGGCATAAGGAGCATCTAGAAAATTCATAATTATGTAGTGAGCTCAGGAAAAGTCACTCTGAGACCTGGTATTCAGGCTTCTTCTTCTGGGAGGACCTAGCTCCTGGTAAAGAGCAGTGCACAGTCTCGGAAATTCCCTAGGCTAAATGTACTACACTTAGTGAGTTAGGAAGAAGATGTTGATGGTGGTAAAAGGTCTTATATAAAGACGAGGAGGATATCAAGCAGCGCTTGTCTTGAGGAATTCATTTCAAACAGCAGGATGAACATCAGAGGCAGCAGAAGGGATGGGAATAGCAGAAGGATGTGGCAGGGACTGGAGGAGAGGCAGAAATGAGAGAGGGCTTTGGACAGTTGTGTCGATGTTCCTTGGGCCGGCTTTTCTTCTGAGGTGGCTGGGGTGATCATAGCTGCGATAGGTACGAGGCCCCACGTGGGTGCACACATCTGTCATCCCAGCACTCTAGGAGACTGAGGCAGGAAGATCTCAAGTTGGGGGCCAATCTGGGCAACTTAGTGAGACCCTGTCTCAAGAAAAAAAAAAAAAGTTCAATCCCGGTATTCCTTCTTCAACCAGAAAAAAGACAACGGGGGCTCTAGGGCAGGTCAGAGTCAGGGGAACCGATTAGAAGAGTGATGTTGCAGTATTTCATGTCACAAAAGGTAAGAACCTTAACTCCAAAAATACCCTCAGAATAGAGAAGACTACCTGAGCCAGAGGCATTCAAGTAAAAATAAAGATGTGGACTGTGGGAGAATTTGTCACGGGCAGAGCAGCATGATGTCCTGGCTCTAGGAACTTCAGTGGCACTAAGGACGGCAGGCACATATTGCTATGAAAGGTGGGATTAAACTGTGTGTAGGTAGCATAGAAGGTCCATGGGACATCAGACGGGAAATTGGGCCAGGTACAGTGTCGGTACACGGGCTACGGGATGACAAGCAGGAAGCCTGGGATATGCTTTTCTTTGGTGTGGATAAAGGATGGGTTGAGTACAAGTCACAAATGCATGGAAATATTTGAAGGAAGGTGCATCCGTTGTATGATCACTCTGACAGAGAGGGAAGAGCTGCTGCTGTGGGAGTGTGTTCAGCAATCTAGTGCTGGCTTCCAAAGGCTGAGGTCCCCTGGGATAGACTAGGTGAGCAGGAAGCTGAGCTGATACGCGTGCAGAACACTAGTTCTTCAGGTGTGCATGGAGAAGGGAGGCTCAGCAAGAACACAGAAGGGTGGTGGCTGAGTAGAAAGGGATGGAGGTAAGCTGTGGAAACCAAAGGAGGACCACGATGTGGCTGTGTGCAGTGCTGGAGTGTGTTCACACGGAGTTCGGGGGCTGTCAGGGATTATATCACTGTCTTTCGAGTCTTCCTTCCTTGATTTGTTCAGTGGGAGACTGAACCAATGGATCGCTGGAGCCCTTCTGGCCATTTCTGCAGACAGCATAGACATGTATGGTTAGGCTGATTGACTGTAGAGTCAGACAGACTACCTGTGTGACTCATACAGGTGACTTAGTGTCTTTAAACTTTGCTTTTCCCCATGGTAAAATGTAGCTTAAATGTCAGCTCCTCCTACACAAGGCTGTTGTACAGATTAAATGAGAAAATGTGCATAAAATATTCAAAGCTTCTGAAGAGAGCCACAAATTTATTGTAATGGCTGTTGTTGTTATCATTATTCCTTAGACTATAGCAGTTAGCTAGCTGTTATGCAAAAGACTGAGGAATCTTGATCATGTGGATGAAAGTATGGGAGAGCCTAGACTTTGCTGGATAAGAGGCCAAACTAGACCATAGAAAGCCCTTTGGGCAGCCAATTATGACTGTAGAAAAAGCTACGGGAAATATCAAACATGTTTTAGTGTTTTTCGGAGGTCTCTCCTGTTGCATACATGTTTAAACCTGCCCTTCTACCCCAAATACTAGTCTTGGTTTAATGTTGATGATTTCCATATCAACTTAACGTCAGCACATATTTAAATAAACATGTTGAGACTCTTATGAGGTCATGGTGACAGTACAAATACATGTTTGTGTCTGTTTTGATAGCACGTTCACATGGGTGATATTAGATTAAAATACAGGTCAGGTCATGACTTAAGAAAATGAGGGCTGGGGTTTTAACTTAGCGGCAAGTGCAAGGCCCCGAGTTTGATCCCTGGTAGCCCCCCCAAAAGAAGAAAATAAGTCAGAAATAGTATGGGGTCCTAGGGACATTGCTGAAGAAAGAAGAGGTGTATGTTTGTTTTAATTGCATAGTGAGATTAAGTAATTATTTACACATAGTGATGAAATAATTCCTTAAATTTTAAGTTCGTGGAATGCTTTGCTATTTCAAACCTTGTTAATATAATTACAGAGACATTTAAAAACCTTCCTCTGTTCTTACTGAAAGCCATTGCCTGACCCTTGGGGAACTGGGAAAGGAAAAGGTCAGCTCAGACTGGAGGTGGCCTTTCTGTATTGATGTGAGTCTGTTAGGGGGCAAAATAGATAACAATGACCTAAAATATATTTTGACTCATTTAAAAAAAGCAAAAAAAATTAGATTTTTTAAAACGGGTTTGAAAGCTAGGGAAGTTGCAGGCAAGCATGTCAAATTTTCTTTTGCCTTTGAACTCTTTGTGATAGTTTTGAGAAGTAGTAAAAATGATTAAGGAGATAGCCAGTGGTGACATTTATTTCTGCGCAGGTTAGGAATATTTTGAATGTCACTGTTGCATTCCTAAATGGATTTGTCAGTCTTCCCCGCCTCATTTCCCTGACAGGTATTGACTGTACATAACTGTAATTGGAGCTGTTGACAGTGCAGTTCTGTAATGGGCCCTAGAACTCTAGGTGTGGATCAGTTAGTCCTGAAGCACCTCTTCACGTTGAGATGTGCATGTGTAAGTGGTAACACATTTGTTCCCATAAAGAATATTAGTACAGACTCTTAGACTTGAGAGCTGTGTACCATTCAGTTAAGTAGAACCGAGTTAGAGAATGAGACCTATCAAAGCTAATTAAGCTAAAAGATACTTTCCCATACTTCTTGCCCATATTAAATACATTATGGACTGGATTCTGACATTCTGATGAAGTACAGTGTCACTGTTTTAAATTTCTTTGCATTTTTTTCCAAGAAGGGCATGGTACGCTTGAGTTTTTCGAATATAATGTGTCTAAGAAATTAAAGTGGTAAAGATACAGTCTGTGGCAGCTGTGAGCAGTGAGACAAAAGGAAGTGATGTCTTGAGTATTAACTGTGGAATAAAAACTTCTATATTGTTACTTAGACCTCGCAAACAATGAGATACATTAAGGAGAAACAGGTTCTGGTAGTTGGTAAGGGATTTGCCAGATACAACATAGTTTTTCTCTATTGCTTCTGGAGTCTTGAAGTTTGATTATCAAATTTTACTGAAGCATGATATAATTGTATATGGGCAGTATCTTCTGTTCTCAATGTTGTTTCTGATTTTCGTATAATTAATTTCACCTATAATGTTGTGTGAATACACTAAAATACCAACACAGGTATTTCTTTATGTGCACATACATTTCTGCATTGCATGTGAACTAAATGAATTAAGTCCTTTTAAATTAATTAATTTAGTGTACTGATGCTAGAACACAGGCCCTGCACATACTAGTCAACTACTAAGCCATTGAGGTAAACTCCTACTGAGTTAACAAACTTACAAAAGGATAAATTGGGGGAATATTATTTTGGATTTCTTCCTTGGAAAGTAGTATGAGGGGAGAATTGTAAAGCATTATTTTTATGCTCAAAGTAAGTTTCTTACATAGCTTATACATAATTTTATTCATTCCGTAAAAATCTCTGGAATAATCTAGTTCTGGATGCTGGGCTTCTATAGAATATACAAAGAGACAAAGAGTATTCTGTTCAGGAGTTTATATGCTGGTGGGATTTATGACTGTGAAAACATAAATGTGTGTGTTTATAAATCCACATGTCCCCATGTACATGGAGATAAGATGCATTAGGTAAGAAATATGGAAAAATGAAATGGGAGGTAAAGGAGCACATTCAGTGTGTTGTGTTTTTTATGGAAGAGAAGTGGGAGAGTTTTTGGAGAGAGAGGGGCTGTCCTGCACCCATCTTAGCAGACGTCCCTCTTGTTATATATTTGCTGTGTCTTGCTACTTTATTCCTGATAATATCTGCAAATAAATGTTACATCTGACTTTCAGAACATGATTCGGTAGAGAAAAGCCATGTTATATGTGTGCATGACAG